CTTTTCTGATACTACTACTTCATGCTTTCTAAATACTTTGGTTGCCAAAGGATTGTTGCATGATCACAAATGTGACTGTGATTAAGAAACACAGTCTGTAACTGGGAAGTTTGACATCTGCATGTTCATTTGCAATAGGAATGTGGTTCAGCAAGTGGGACTGGGAAAATTCTTCAAAAGTCTTGTCAGGTGTTTTGTTCTGTTTGACTATTTACCCTGGTTATCACATAAGATTGGTAGGAAGTTTCCTTCCTCCCCAGGGTGCAAGCAGTTTAATATTTTAAGCCACTTAGGCTGGGTAATAATGGAAAGAAAACCTCCTCTGTTTTATTTCATTTTTTGGATCAAAAAAATTCAGAACTGGTATTTTGTTAGAGGTGGAGAGAGAAAAAGGTTCCTGGCATTACTCTCCTCTGCCCTCCCCCACCCTCATTACCCAGTTTTCAGGTCATAACAGCATTACATCAGAGATTATTAACCAATAATAACCAAGTAAATTTGCTGTTCTCTTTTGGAGGACAGCACGTACTACGCTGCCTCTAATAGAAGCTTCATAGAATTTAGTCACTTCTCTGAGCCTTCGGGATAAGTACAGTCGCCTCCAAACTAGTTATTTCTTTTCCAGGTAAAACTCTCGCAGGGCAAATTACTTCACAAGGACTGCCATTTTTTCTGTGAGCAGCCATTTTTTACTCTGTGCAGAACTTGTATGAGGGTGTGTTGAAGCAAGGCAGTTACCAAACATTTGTAAAATAGAGAAAAATGAAATCGGAGTGGCAATCACTGGTGATCCTTTAAACCTAAAAGGAAATCCAAGGGCATCCATGGTGGTAACACTGAAAACAACAGCCTTTCATATGCCACAATAAAAAAAAAAATATCCCAAAAAACAGGCAGCTGAATTTAACAAGTGCATTAATATGGACAGGGACTGTACTGAATAATAAATGCAGCTGAAGGCAAAGAGTTGCTTTTCTTGTCAGGTCAGAATATGAATGTGCCTGCATGCCTGGCATGTGCATCAATGGAAACTCCAAGATAGTCTGCAAAGGGCTTTCAAATCCTTCAGATAGAAAATTAATTAGCTTTTAGTATTAGGTAGCAATTGTAAGCATTACTACAAAAATTCAAACCACCTCAAAGGGAAAAAAAAGTTCAATTTCTGCATGTTAGACAAGCTTTCAAACACTTCTGTCACTGGTTTACAATCTCCCACTTCAGTAGGACACTTGACCATCACCAACAATAGGCTCAAAAGAGCCAGATTTACATGAAAGCTTTTTTCAAATACAGCTGTTTCAATTCACAGCAACAAGCTCTCCCTGATATTTTTAAAGCACAAAAAAAGAAAAGAAAGTCACAACTGGAATATTTATTTTTAAAAGCTAATTTTGTCAATCAATGCTGATCAGTTTTTTGGGTTTTGGGGCTGGGTTTGTTTTGGGTTGTTTTTTTTCTTTGGGGGTTAGGGTTAGGGTTTGGGTTAGGGTTAGGGTTAGGGTTAGGGTTAGGGTTA